ACATAAATGTGGGACAAACTGTAAAATAATCAATTATTACTAATTCTTCCTTAGAATACTCTCTAAATACTTGTTTAGTTATCTGAGCTGCATGTTGATTTTGTTTGCTGATGTATGCTGCATAGATATTGTGATAAATGTTCCTTGTAATTAAAATATCAGAAGTGTATAGTAACAAAGTGTTTACTTCGTTACAGAGCTTAAGTCAATTTTTTGAGGATCTGTAATTTTACCAAGAATTTTTTTATTATAACTTTTAATTCAAAACACAAAAATTATACTTCTACTGAATTATTTTCAAATTTAAATACAACTGGAACTCATCATGAAAGGTGTAAAAATACTTTTACTTTCTCGGTTATTGTGAGCSGTTTTATGGCTTTTACTTGCTTATCGGTGAAATTCATTGATTCCAAATTCACTTTCTGTGAAGATATTTTTACCTTTACTTAGTTCTTTTATTCAACWACTTTATGCACCTCTGAAATTCAGCTTCAGCTGTTGAGTCTGATCATTCAAGCAAATTAAAGCTTGGATGTTATTAAGGTAATCAATCTGTTTTGATTGAGCTCCTTGATTTGGTGTTCACCCCGTTTCCTCTCAAGATCTCTTCRTTTTGGACTGATTCTGTACTTTGTATTCAAACGTTTTTGCCTTCACAGCAGAAGGACAGGAAATGGAAGCAGCTCTGTGCAACCTGAAAGATCCCCTTATTGACCACACTGAGGGCCAGTGTTTCTTGGACGAAGCCATCAAAATTATCGTGGAGGAGGTTCTCTGCAAGGGTACAGATGTCAAACAGAAGGTCTCAGAAATATAAAGTTTACTTAATATATCCACTACCAGGTTAGTTAATATTCTCAGACAAAAAGGCCATAATGTGTGTATTCCTGATGCAGGTGTGTGAATGGAAAGAGCCCAACGAGCTGGCTCTGCTGCTGGATCTGGAGCTGAGGGAGAGYGGGGAGCAGCAGGAGAGGCTCCTGCAGAGAGTCAGAGATGTGGCCAAATACAGCATTAAAACAAGCAAGTCTGACAGAAACACTCAAAACTGTTACAGAGATACTTTGGTGATATTAAGACTTTTTTATTGTTATTTTGCTGCTAATTTCAGGTCATCCACGTTTCTTTAATCAGCAGTTCGCTGGAGTGGACTATCATTCTTTGGCTGGACGTTTCCTCACTGAGGCTCTCAACACAAACCTGTAAGACAAAGAGTATAAATCAGGAAAATGTATCTGTTCTATAAGGTATGGCTGATTAGAAGTGTGACTAAGTTGAAAATACAACTAATTATCACCAAGTCTTTTTTTTTCTTCAAAGGTGAATGTTTTTTTGTTACCAGACTGATTCATGGGAACCCCTGAAATTGTGAATGTTGCCTGCAGCTTCACCTATGAAGTGGCGCCGGTCTTCGTGCTGATGGAAATGGAGGTCCTAAGAAGCCTTCGTCARCTGGTGGGCTGGACAGAAGGAGATGGTATTTTCTGCCCAGGGGGCTCCACCTCCAACATGTACGCCATGAACCTCGCCCGCTACAGACTCCACCCTGAGGTCAAAAGTCAGGGTCTTTGGGCTCTCCCACGCCTGGCCATCTTCACATCTCCGGAGGTCAGGACAATCGCTCTGTGATTCATGTTTGATTCCAGAGTAAAATATTATCAGAGTTGTTTGATGAAAATCRGGTTTTAGCATTTTTCACTTGCTTTTTTGTTTTGTTTTGTTTTGTTTTTGTGMGTCAAGTGACAGCAGAATATGTTCTGTGTATTTAGAGCCATTACTCTGTGAAGAAAGGAGCAGCTTTTCTGGGGTTCGGGACAGATAATGTCATCTTGGTGAAAGTGGATGAAAGGTAATGTTGATTGTGATCAACAGAAATAGGGAAATTATATGTATAGACAATATCATCATTGAGATTTTATCCAAAGGGGAGAAAACTCATTAGTTTAAGACTCCTGCTTCGTCTTATTTAACTTTATTGCTTATGAATATTCTGTTTGATACAGAGGCCATATGATTCCAGAGGACCTAGATGAAAAGATCGAGCTTTTAAAATCTCAGGTAAATTTACAGATGTTCAGTAAGCTCAGCATCCAAAAAGATACATATGTGCGTGTCAAAGCTCAAGTTGACAAACACTGGACTCACTTTCAGTTTGCTTCTATCAGGGTGTGATACCATGTTTTGTGAGCTGCACAGCAGGCACGACAGTGCGAGGTGCATTTGACCCATTGGATCGTATAGCCGATGTTTGTGACAAACACAAGCTATGGCTGCACGTCGACGTGAGTCCTACGTGATACTCATTCAATTGTTACGTTATAATTGTGAGAAGCTTTGGCTTTTTCTTTTTTTTTTTTTTTTTTTTTTTTTTTTTTGGTAAAGTTTAGAAATATTCTGTTTTGTGACTTGTTTCAGGCTGCCTGGGGAGGAAGTGTGCTCTTCTCCAAGCAGCACAGACA